GCATGACTTGGAGAAGGAACTTAGGCTCAAAGTGTTCACATTTCTTTTTATTCTGTAGGTGGCAGTGACTGAGGCATCATTATTGCTCATCCCTAGTTGCCCCTTGAGAAGATGGTAGTGAGCTGCCTTCTTGAACCACTGCACACCACCTGCTGTAGATAGACTCTGGGATTTCAGGATATTGACTCAGCCACATGAAAGAATGACAATATATTTTCAAGTCAGAATGGTGAATGGTTTGGAAGGAGAACTTGCAGGGGGTGTTGTTCCCATGTATCTGTTGCCCTTGCCCTTCTAGGTTGAAGTGGTTGTGGGTTTGGAAGGTGCTGTTTTAAGGAGCCTTGGTGATTTTCTGCAGTACATCTTATAGACGGTTCACACCGCTTCTACTGAACATCAGAGGTAGAGGGAATGGATATTTGTGCACAGAGTGCCAATCAAGCGGGCTGCTTTGTCCTGGATGGTATCTAGTTGCTTGAATGTTGTTGGAGCTGCACCCATCCAGGCAAGTGGGGAGTATTCCAACACAGTCCTGACTTGTGTCTTGTCAATGATGGACTGACTTTGGTGAGTTAGGAAGTGAGTTACTCAGTGCAAGTTCCCTAGCCTCCGATCTGCTCTTCCAGTCATTAAATTTTAATGGTGAATCTGGTTCAATTTCTGATAGTAAGAGATTCAGTGATGGTAACACCATTTAATGACAAGGGATGATGGTTAGATTTTCTCCTTTTGGAGATGGTTATGTGACGTAAATGTTACTTGTCAATTGGCAGTGCAAATCTGGATATTGTCCAGGTCTTGCTGCATTTGAATATTGACTGCTTCCATGTCTGAGGAGTCATTAATGATGCTAAACATTGTGCAATCATCACTGCATGTCTCTCCTTCTGACATTATCATAAAAGAAAGGTCATTGTTGAAGCAGTTGAAGGTATTTGCTCAAAGGACAATACTGTAAAGAACTCCTGCACAGATGTTACGGAGATGAATGACCTCCAACAACCACAACACTTTACTCCTGCTGAAGTCCATCATTACTATATCAATTCTATGTTTTATTTCATCATTTTTAATATTATCTAAAATCCCCAAGTATCCAATTTCTTCTTGGGTACTTGGCAACTTTAACGCCATTTTTTTTTGTTGTTAATCTCAGCTTTTCAATTACCTGCAGCCTGGGAGTTAGTTCATGTCGACTATTTGGATGTTCCCAGACCTGATCTTACCAAAAGAAGTGTTTGTACAGTACCTGTATCCATCATGTTGTTAACTTACTGGAAATGAGGATCAACCAGTAAAGACATGTCTTTTCCATCAACTATTCATTGCATTGAATTCTTGAATTGCTTCTTTCCCTTTAATGACCAGTTCGAAATACTTATATAACATGCGTGTGATTGTAAATGTAGAAATGAGCTGTGGGGACTCTTGTGACTCAGTAGTAGTACCCCTACCTCTGCCCCAAGAGGCCTGAGTTCAGGTCCCATCTGCTCCAGAGGCATGTCATACCATCTCTGAAAAGGTTGATTATAAATATCTGCAACTACGTTAGGGGATCTTGATCAAAACTAATATGATTTCATGAGGTACTTATACACACTCATTTTAGAATAGGTGGCAGTCAGCGTGATTGGAGCCTTTATTTCCAACAGTGAGACCAAGCGGAGGCTCGGAGACCGTTTTATAGAGCACCTGCTCTCTGTTTGTGACAAACGACAACACCTTCCAGTCGCTAACCATTTCAACTCCCCCTCCAACTCCCTGGGCGACATGTCCATCCTGCGCCTCCTCCAGTGTCACAATGACGCCATCCAGAAACTGGAGGAGCAGCACCTCATATTCCACCTTGGGAGCCTACAACGCAATGGTCTCAATGTGAACTTTACCAGTTTCAAAAACTCCCCACCTGTGGCCTCATCCCATAACCAACCCTCTCATCCCTGCCTCCTTGACCTGCCACAACCTGGCAACTTGTCCATCTTCCACCTATCCGCTCCTCCCACCTCACTGACCAATCCCCCCATTGCCTACCTGCACTCACCTATCACCATGCCACCTACTTCCCCCAGCCCCACCCCTCCTTGCTCTATTTATGTCAGAGCGCCCTTCCCCTTCCCCCATTTCTGAAGAAGGGTCCCGACCCGAAATGTGAACTTTCCTGCTTCTCTGATGCTGCCTGGCCCACTGTGCTTCTCTAAGGTTTAAATCAAAGCATTTTGGCAGGTCTGCACCAGTTTGGAGGCAGTAGAAAAGATAAATCAACTGCTTGAGACTGATAGGAGATCCTGTGACATACCTTCCACAGATTACTGACCTTCACACCACCAGCACAACTTGCTCAGGGAAAACATACCTTGGAAAAAAAAGTGATAGAACTATGCGAAAATAGCTTTGAAACTTAAATAGCTGTTTTGCTGACCTTATCTAAAGGATATGGAGATGGTTTTCATTTTATATTAAAGGTGTTTACAGGCCAATTCCATTTGCACTTCAATAGGCATTAAAGTTTGAAGCTCCTTGAGTTTATCAGAATGACAGCACTGAGTTTAATCAAGCTTAAAAAATAAAGTATTAAAATAAACAGATTTCTAAATTCTGTAATGTACGCACGTACATAAACAAGCACATACACACTAATATGTAAGCAGTGTGATGGGGCACAGGGGAAATAGAACAATGGGAAATTTGAGGAGAATGGATGGAAAGTGGGTAATGTTTGTCCAGATATTGGGAATAATATCAACCCCACACAGACTGCACTGGTTAAAGAAGCTCGTTCACTACAACCATCTCATGAACAACTCTGAATGGAGAAGACATGTTGTTCCTTTCATTGATGATCACATATTAATAATGAAAAAAAAGTGATGAATTAGCTATTGAGATGTTAAAGTGATTGTATGAGGAGATCATGTTACCAGGAATCAGATGTTGAAATATTAAAGCAATAAATTTGAAACTGTTTAAGCATGCTGAGCTGAATATTTATTTTTAGCACTCACTGATTCAGTGAGCTGTAGGGGGTCAGCATTCTGTAGGAACAGAACACTCAGGGCAGACTCAGTCCCAAGTGATTGTTACTTAAGGCTGTTCCAAAATAATAGTTGCATGTAGTTTTGCCCAGAAATAGGAGCGGGTCTAATTGCAAGTTTTTCTCTGGTCTGTTCAGGTCAGGTCTTGGAAAGGGAGTTTAGAGATGGAAGGCAGTGAGGCTTGAAGTTATTGAGTGCATCACCATGTGTTGTATTTAGTTGGATGCCCGAGAACTATTGAGTGCCTCTGTATGGAACACAGTGAGAAGGCCCAAAGACTGAGTATCGGACAGTTGTTTGAACTTAGGCAAGATGTTTGAGGAGTTGGCTAGCAGCTCAATGATGGTGACGGGGTTCCTGAGAACCTGTCAAGCTTTAGGAGGTCAAAGGGAGTCTGTGCTACTCATTGTTTAGTGCAAGAGAGGGTGGATGAGAATGCATAAGGATAAATTTCTTGATGTAACTGAGCAAAAAAAAGAGCTCAGGGAAAATCATCGGTAGGGAGGAATTTGATGCAGCTACCTCTCAAGTGGAAAAAGAAACAAGGCTGTTTTGTACCTGTGAAAGAGCACAGCAGTATCATTTACAGATTAATTGAAGGAAGACCCAGAAAATTAGGGTAGTCGATTCAAATGGGAACATTCATTGAGGTACAGCACAATGCAATGTTTCTGTAGAACATTTCAAGGTAAGGTTGGGAAAAGTGAAAAATTAAAAACTCTTTTAAGATAAATGAGATGTATTGATCTAACATCAATAAAGTCTGTGAGCATACGTTCAGAAATGTGTGTGTCATGATCACATTTATGACTTGATTATCATATATTTTTAATGCACAGTTGGAATTCATGTTGTACATGTATTGTTCATTATACTATTTCTCAAATTTTGCAAAGTAAACTTTATTTTTACTTATCTAAAACGGTGGTTTGTTGTATTTTATTCATGTCTTCAGACTGCTGGATATCACACTTCGTCTCCTGGAAAACAAAAGTTGTGGCCCCTCACTGGATTGTAGCATTCAGTTGGCATGCGTCCATGAACATGCTGAAAAGCTTTTTCGGAAAAGCGGATAAATCTATTTTATATTCATAACACAACTGTCATGACTTAATTATGACCCTCCAACAATGTGGCGCTAACTCAGTACCGACCATCCTACATGGTACTCCCTCAGTACTGAGCCTCCGACAGTGCGACATTCCTCAGTACTGACCCACCAAAATTACAATGTTTCCACTGTTTTGGCACACAGCCCAGTCCTGCACCGAGGCTCCTTAGACAGCATCATGCAAACCCATGACCACTTCCACCTGGAAGGACCAGGGCAACAGATACATGCGAACATCATCCCCTGCTTGTTCCCCACCAAGTCACTCGGGGAAATGGTAGTAAAGTGGATCTGAGGAATGTGTGATCAGCCATGTTCTTTTTGAATAGCAGAGCAGGCTCAAGGGGCCAAATGGCCAATTTCTTATGGCCATAGGGTCACTCTCCATTTTGACTTGGAAATAAATCGCTGTTCCTTCAGTGTCACTGTCAAAATCATTGAACTCCCTCTCCAACTGCATTGTGCAAGCAACTACCTACAGCACATGGACAGCACCTTTACTGGGGAAATTACAGACAGGCAGCAATGCCCACAACTTGTAAATAAATATGCAAACAGCCTGTGCAGAATATCAGCATGGGTCATGGCATTCAGATTCTAGACTGGGGACTGTGGCAATTCAATTACCACCTTGGGACCAGGTTAGATACACCATATGAACAGCTGCCCAGCTCTAAGTTTGGTTCAAATGATCAACAATTGCTTATACAGCAAACTGTTATGGAATTTATCACGGGCTTCCTACTTCCTCATTTTGACTTGGTGTGTCAGCCCTTTCTAATTAAAAAAACAGATGGAACAGCAGAGGGAAATGCCATTCAGCCCAAGCAGAGCATCTTAGCACTTACTCCCCAGACGAACTGTCAGGCGGGTCCTCGGTAAGTAACATTACGGTTGGAATTCACTTCAACGACCAACATCGTCCTTTGTTGATGCTGTTAGTTTTTAAATGTACCGTTTCATTGGAGGCAGCTCAGAGCAGATTCACCAGGATGATTCCCGGTATGGAGGGATTATCTTACGTGCAAAGATTAAACAGGTGGAAACTGTACTCACTGCAGTTTAGAAGAATGAGAGGTAATCTGATTGAAACATATATATTTCTCAAGGGGCTTGACAGGATGAATTCTGAGCAGATGTTTCACCTCATGTGAGAATCTAGGACCAGAGGGCACAGTTTCAGAATAAAGGGGCACGAATTTAAACTCAGATATGAAGGAATTTCTTTTCTCAGGGGGTTGTGAGTCTTTGGAACCCTTTGCCAGGGAGATCTGTGGGGGCAGAGTCCTTTCGTATATTCAACGCTGAAATAGATTCTTAATCATTAGAGGAATCCGGGGTTACAGTCAAAACACAGGGAAGTGGACATGAGAAATGTTGGATCAACCATGATCCAATTCAATGATGGACCAGGCTCAAGGGGGCAAATAGCCTGCCCCTGTTCCTATTTCTTGTAGTCTTAATTTTAAAACCAGATTCCAATGATTGATGTCTTTGAAACATTTTTACTTACAAGTGGGCAACACGGTGGCTCAGTGGTTAGCAATGCTGTCTCACAGCTCCAAGAACCCAGGTTCGATTCCATCCTCGGGCAACTATCTATGTGGAGTTTGCAGATTTTCCCTGTGTCTACATGTGTTTCCTCCAAGTGCTTCGATCTTCTCACACAATCCAAAGATGTGCAGGCTAGGTGGATTGGACATGTCAAATTGTCCACAGTGTTCAAGGATGTGTTGATTAGGGGGCTGGGTCTGGTTGGGATGCTCTGAGTGTCAGTATGGACTTGTTGGGCCAAAGGGCCTATTTCCACACTGTAGGGATTCTATGAAATAACATCTGGGCATACAGATCAAGTCTGTGAGGACACTATCTCAAAGCAGTTCTGATCTCTCAACACTGTCAGAAAAAGGTGAGGTCTGTTTTACTCCTTTCTCTTTCAGAAGCTGATGAAATATCTGGGAGTGGACAATGATCAGAAAATCTTACTTCCTGCTCTTACTCCTTCAAGGTAATGCCATCGTCAGCTCGGACAGATTTATGGTTAATAGTTTTGTAAAAGATCATTTTTATTGTGCTATGATTTGGAACTAATTCAGCAGTGAGCTGGTGTACAAACTCATGCCATGTCCAGTTCACCCAACAACCTTGTGCTCACTGACATACACTGGCTCCCAGTCTCACAACAGCAATGGAGGAGCTAAGAGATCTTGGAGGGTTCAAGGGTTGGTAGATGTTATAGAAATACTAAGTGGGAGAGTGGAGGGTTTGGAAATAGTTGGAGAGAATCATAAAATCGAGGTATTGACGGACGGTCAGTGGGTATGGGATGCAGGGATATTTGAGAAATGTGGATAAAACCTGGAGGGTGATGTGGATCTCAATGTCAGCATTCTGCTAGCAGTGGCCTTATGTTTGTGTTTTTGCTGATTTTAGTCTGAATGTCCCACAGCAGCTCCTTGGATAAACAAGAGATATCCTGATTGCCTCTGATCTGCTGCACTGTGTAAATTGCACAGACTCTGAGACCATTACAGCTCCAGACGAAATCAATTAGCCTGAGAGGGCAGTGGAATCAGATTGCAAACGAAATTTGAAAAGCAGGAATTGGAGGAATATTGCAACGGGAAACATTTTCATGGCTGTGGGGAAAAGAGGATGTCGTGGGGACTAATTTGGGAGATCTTTCAAAGAGCTGACCCAGGCACAATGGATGGAACAGTCTTCATCTGTGCTGTATGATTCTGCAATCCAGTGATTTAAGTTCCTTCCCAGCAATGTTTCAGTTTCCTGATGAAGTCATAGCTGTTCCAGATGGACCGGAAGCAATTCGCACCTGGTATTAGCCTTCTGTGTGCACAGCTAAGTTCTGTTTGAACCACAATGACTGTGAGACCATCTGTGAAAGCTGTATACCCATCACAGAGGAAATTCCATCACATGCAGCGCTCAGGCTAGAGGCAATTTGCTGAGTGTTTCATAGTGTCTGGGTCGATGCTGAGCTTGGGGACAAGTCAAGTCTCCAATGCTGCATCAGAATCACCAATACAGCAATGTGAAGTTTGGAACAGAGATAATCCCTTGACCAATGAGGATCCAAAGAGACCACTTAGTCAGTGAGGGCCAAAAGCAATCTCTCAGACAAAGGAATCCAAAGGGATCCCTTAAAACAATAATGATGCGAAGAGATCGCTTAGAAAATGAGAATTCAAATAGATCCCTTAGACAATAGAGTTCCAAATATATTCCACAGACAACGAAGAATCAGATAAATCCCTTAGATAATGAGGATCCAAACAGATTCTTTGGATAATGAGGATCTAAAGAGATTACTTGGACATCGAGGATCCAAAGTGATTCCTAACAGCCAATATTATCAAATTGAGGGTAATGACTTCCAACAGGTCCTCAGTAGATTAATTCTATCACTGAGAGAGAGACAGGGAGGGAGAAACACAGAGTGAGTGTGAAACAGCTTGGAGCTGAGTGGCTTGGAGGGAAACTTGCAAAGAGTAGTGGTCCCATGTATCTGCTGCCCTTGTTATTCTAGATGGAGGTAGTCGTGGGTCTGGAAGGTACTGTCTGAGGATCTTTGGCGCATTTCTTCAGTACGTATTGCAGATAGGACAAGCTGCTGCTACTGAGTGTCAGTGGTGGATGGAGTGGGCCTGCAATTGAAGACTCAAATGAGGAAGAATTTTGAGTTTTTGGAAGTCTCCTCACTTGAGAGTGGTGGCAGATGGGTCATTCAATATATTCAATGCTGAAAGAGGAGGGGTTTTGATTTAAAAGCAAGTCAATGCATTATAGGGGGCATGCAGGAAAATGGAGTTCAGTTCACAATCAGATCAACTTGTTGCCTAATCAGGCTGGGGGGGCTGAATGGCCTACTCCTGTTTGTATTTCTCCTGAAATATAAGTGGAAAGTACTGGAGAAACTCAATGGGTTGACTTCTACCTGTGGAGAGAGTACAGAGTTAACATTTTTTATCCAATATGACTATTCCTCAGAACGCCTATTATTTATGTTCTTGACTTATCAAACCTTCTCCCCTTTCTCAAACGTGTAAATCCCCTGATGAAAAACTGATGAACACTGAGAAACTGTGTTGGGTTTGCTGAACACTGTCAGATATTCTCCAGATTGTCATGTTTCTGTTCATGATCAGTCATTGTCTTGGATAAAAGGAAACTCAACTGTTTAGGGGAAGTTTTGTTCTTTAAAATTAAAATTAAAACCTTCTTTGAGTCTATTAATCAACTCCATGGGGTGAAATTTTTGCTTGTTCTTATTGGATTGAAGCTGGGATCTGATTGTGTCTGTATTCTATTAATAGAGAATCCTTCACCACATTAAAAACAGTTGGTGGAAAGGCAGTCAGTATGGAGACAGATGATAGGATAACAGCAATGAATTTGCAGACAAGGCATAAAGTTGGCAAATGCAGTTCAACACAGACTAATGTGAAGTCCTATGTTTTGTGCTGCAAAGACAGATACTTTGTTGAAACTTTTTTATCTCACATTCATCAGGGCAGACTCAAGAATGGCAAATTTTAGAGGAAACAATCTACATGAGAAAAAGGTGCTGATTGGTTAGCAAGTAAATAATCAATCAGAGTTAACTTGTCTTATTTTTTCAATTTAAGGAAAAGCTTGGAGGGATACCTGTTCCCTATTGCATTCTCCATGGCAACTGTTGATGGGCATCCACATGGATTCAGCAACCTTTTCTCTTGCTGCATAAGTTGTTCTTCGCTTTGAAACTTGCTTTTATTGAGTCTGTTCTACTGAGTATAAGATGAAAAGTTTCAAAAGCGTGTCTCTCTTTTCAGCAACGTTCAGGTTCAATCCTACCAAACAACTGTTAATACGTTTTGGCAGGAAAACTATTGCTCAGAATGTCAGGGTTTAACTTGGGAATAGTGTGATTAAAGGTTCATATTATTTTTATGCTTTAATTTGTCATTTGGATTTTGGCAGATGGATGTGTGTCAGTTCTGCAAACATTTTTTAGATTAAACAAGTCGGAAAATGAATTGAAACAGTGACCTATGCACATGAATTCCAACATAGCATGTAATTGCTCTGAAGTGCCTGGGAAAACCCTACAGTGTTAATGGGTAAATTGTTCATACTGTTGAGTTTATGACAGAAAGGTTAAACACATTAAGGACATTAGTTTAACTTTGACTTAAGAACAGAATATTCAAGGGTTCAGTTCATAACATTCAGGAGGTCACTTCAGAAGGTTGAAAAGTTTCTCGCTGCAGGAGAATCAGTTTTTAATATCATAGAATCACAGAAGAGTTACAGCACAGAAGGAAGCCATTCAGCCCATCATGCCAGCATCAGCTCTTCAAATGCCTCATTACCTAGTGCCAATCTCTAGCCCTTAACTCCTATTCCTGCATACTATTTCTATCCAAATAATCATCCAATGTGACTCTCCAATGACTCAAATGCTCCTGCTGCATTTTCTGGCAGTGCATTCCACACCCTCACTACTTGCTGGGTAAAAATGTTTATTCTCACATCGCCCTAGCTTCGTCTGCACATCCGTTTAAATCTATGCCCCTCTCGTTCTTGTTCCTTTTATGAGTGGGAACGGCTTCTTCCTATCTACTCTGTCTAGAAACCTCACGACAGGGTAGGTACAGAGAGAATGGTTCCCTAATGGGAGAGTCTAAGATTAGAGTGCACAAACTCAGAATAAGGTGTCGTACATTTAAGACACAGATGAGAAGGAATTTCTTCTCTAATGGTAGAGAATCTGTGGAATTCTTTACTGCAGATGGCTGTTGAGGCTGGGTCATTAACTATATACAAGGATGACGTGGATTTTTAATGAGTTCATGGAGAAAAGGCAGAAAGAGGAGTTGAGGATTATTAGTTCTGCCATGATCTCATTGAAGACTCAATGGGCCGAATAGCCTATATCTTTTCCTACATTGTGTAGTTTATGGACATCCTGCTAAATTTCTATTGAATGTTGATAAAACCCTACGAAGGATGCTGTATACGGCTTTCATCTCCATCCTATAAAGAGGATATCGAGGGGTTGGAGATGTGCCAAAGAGATTGACAAAGTTGATCCCAGACATGGTGGGGAGGTGGGGGTGGGGGGAAACGGTTTACACATCAGGAAATTATTTCCAATCAAGCAAAATTTCTTCTCTTTTGGAAGAAAAAAGCCTGAGGGATGACCCCATGGATGTTGACAAAGTTTCGAAAGTTTGAATGGATTGAGGGAGAATATTTCATTTCGTGTGAGAGAGCATATGTTTGGCTAACAACAGAAGACAGACACCAAGAAATCCAATGAGGAATTTGGGAGAAACAGAGAGTCAGGAGGAATGTGGGACTCGCTCCCACAGGGAGTCTGGGGGCGACGTGGAACTCACTCCCAGAGGGAGGGGTAGAATGTGGGACTAGCTCCCGCACAGAGTTGGGAGGAGAATGTGAGATTCACTCCCACAGACAGTAGTCAAGGTGAATCATGTCGATGTATTAATTGGGAGCACTGGATAAACATATTAGGGAGAAGGGAATAGAAGGTTACGATGATAGATTTTGATGAAGAGAGATGGGAGGCTCAGGTGCAACATTAACAGCAGCATGGATGTGTTGACCCGAATCGCCTGTTTCTCTGTCACAATTATCCATTATTCTTGGTCTCGCTGGTCTGTCTCATCATTGTCTACATCAAAGATATTGACTTCAAACAGTCCTCTAAGTGATTGCCTGCTTCCTGATTCCCACAATTAAAACTGCCATCCGCACAGCACCCTTATGTCATGGATATTAAACTGTATTATAAATGAGATTGGGAGTCTGTAATTACTAATCCATCTGAAAAGGAATTCTTCAAACAAAAAGGTTTAAGAATCACTGCCTTAGACTATGAGGATCCAGGAAAGTGATTCATGCTGGTGATAAGGGTGCGACTTCTGAGGACTCCTCATCTATTGTGTGCCCTGTAAATCAGCACAGAATGTATCTCCATTGGTGTGTCTCGTAGAAACTGTGTTGGGTGGAAGTCTAGCTTCAATAAACAGGACCGTGAGAACTGTGAGACAATGTCGGATGAACCTGTCCAACTGCTTTGTAACCTGTCTCCTCCATCTGCTATGTAATCTTGGGGAGTTTCTTGTAGGTGGTCCACACTGTAGCCACCGTGTACGAGTGACAGAGGGAGTGGATATCGAGTCTAGTGGATCCACAGGCCATTCAGTGCTAAATACTGATATTTCTCTCCACAGCTGGACTCGCACAAGAGTGGCAAATCCACACTCCACCTGAGGTGACGGTACAGGAAGGTTCCTGTGCACGTATTCCATGCCGCTACAGTTATCCTTCCCATCTAGCAAACCAACCACGAACCGGAATCTGGTTTAGTAACAAGGATTGGAAAACATCATCAACAGCCTTTCACTCCAAGGATCATAGCCGCGAGTTGGGACGGTTCTACCTGCGGACCCAGCTGTCTGGAAACCTGAAATATGGAGACTGTTCCTTGATCATAAATCGCATCACACAGGAAGACGCAGGTCCTTATTATTTCAGAGTTGAATTTGACAATGTGAACAGTTACAGCTACTATCCTGCAACCCAGCTTCACGTTTCTGGTAAGTGCTGAGTTATAATTACTTAACAATCCTATTGTACATTCAGTGGGAGAGGACACACCGTCAGGTCTGAACTCTTAGTTTTATAGGTGTGTTAACCAGGTGTTGTAGCTTTCAGGGTTTCATTTATTTGTCCTCCCAGATCCACAAACTTATTACAGGTGATAGCATCCACATCAGAGCCTGAACAGAAACTGAGCTGCAGACAATGACATCATCCACCCTAATGAATCCTCCCCTCCTGGCTTCATCCAGCAACACTGTCCCCATAGACTGGTGTGGTGACCGTGTGGCATTTATCTCTAGGTCACACCTTGACCTGACCGCCGTCTCTGGCACATTCTCCTCCTTTGAACATCTCAGCACTTTCACCTCTCTTTCAAAATCTTCTTCCACGCTCATCCTCGTAGCTGCCATAAGAAAGTTCTCACCGGGATAGCTTTACTGCTTCCCTCCCTCAGCATCTGCAACAAAAGACTTCCCATCCTTGGAGATTTCATTTCTGTGTCAGCTTATCATGTTTGACTGCTCTGATGATTCCTGGCTGGTCTTCCACATTCTACTTTCTGGAAAATCCTTAATCTTATTTCACAGCAAATCTCGCTCTGCTACCAACCCCCTGCATTCGCTGGCCTACGCTGATTCCTCATCAAGCATATAGTCACAAAGCCATACAGCATGGAGCAGACCCTTCAGTCCAATTCGTTGATGCCAACCTAATTTCCCAAACTAAACTAGTCCCATTTGCCCACATATGGCCCCTATCCATCTAAACCTTTCCCATTTATGTGGCTGTCCAAATGTCTCTTAATTGTGGTAACTGTACCTACATCTACCACTTCCTCTGGCAATTTATTCCACATACAAACCACCCTCTATGTGATAAAATTACTCCTCAGGTCCCTTTTACGTTTTTCTCAGCTCACCTTAAAATTATGCTGTCTCATTCACATCCTTGTTACCTTCCTCTTCCTGTAATCATCTTCAGTTCCATGGGAGATCTTGAGTTCTGTCCTCTTGTGGACACCTGTCTTTACTTGTCTCACCGATGTGTATTTATCATTCTAGTTGCCTGGAATCCAGGAATTCACTCCCTGAACCTCTTGCCTCTCTCTTCTGACATCCTGCCTAAGACCATAAGAAATAGGAACAGGAGTAGGCCATTCGGCCCATCGAGCCCGTTCTGCCATTCAGTAAGATCATGGCTGATCCGACATTCCTTACATCCACTTCCTGCATTTTCCCCATAACTCTTGATTCCTCAACTCATCAAAAATCCATAAACTTCACCCTTAAATATATACAACGACACTGCCCCCAAATGTCTCTGTGGCAAGGAGTTCTAAAGACACAACCCTCGGAGAAAAGAAATTCCTCCTCATCTGAGCCTTAAATTAGCACTCCTTTAATCTGAGACTGTGTCCTCTGGTCCAAGATTCCCCCATGAAGTACAACATCCTCTCAGCAGTTACCCTGTCAAGCCCCTTCAGAATCCCATATGTTTCAACGAGATCACCTCTCCTTCTTCTAAACTCCAGTGAGTAGAGTCCCAACTTGTTTAACCTTAGCTCAGAAGACAATCCCTCCATACCAGGGATCATCCTAGTGAACCTTTTCAATCCAGCCTCAGTTTGTGATAACCCAGTGTCTGATTCTCAATAACCCGCTGATAAGCTTCCAGTTCAGTCCTGGAGAAACCTCTAAATACTGACATGAATATCAATGATTAAATGTATTGACTGTGCCCATCAATGTTATCAGGTGATCCACTCTCGTATATCTCTCTCATCGTGTTGAAAAATCTCAGAGACAAAAAAGACTCACATTTCTGTAAAAATCAAAAAGAACTGCAGATGCTGTGAATCCGAAACAAAAACAGAATTTGCTAGAAAAGCTCAGCAGGTCTGGCAGCACTTGTGAAAAGAAATCGGAGTTAACACTTCGGGTCCAGTGACCCTTCCTTAGAACCTTCGTTTTTGTCTCATATTTCTGTAGTGCCTTTCACCATTTCAGGGTATTCCAAACAGCTTCACAAACAATGAAGCAATTCCACAAATGGAGTTGCTGCTGCCGTGAAGGATTCGCAGTCACCCTATAAGGCAAACTCCAACAAAAAACAGGATTGTCATCAAAAATCTGATCACATATTTCATTGTTCTGGCTGAGATTGTTACCAATCGTTGCTGTCCTGTTGCAGGCAGGATTTAATTGGAATTTGGCAGATTTCAGAGAAAGTGAGGAGCCAGTCCTCCCTGGGCTCTGAGCAGCTCCCCCTCCTGCACCCAGCATTGTCCAATCACAGGAGTCAGAGTGAAAGTGTGTTAAACAGAGTGACATAAACTTCACCGAGTCAGAAAAGAGGAAAGTCTTTACTGATCATTGTACTCGGTTCAAATATCATCCCGGTGAAAGTGTCTTATCTCGTGAGATTATTATTTCTATTTTAACAGCCACTTTACATTATATGTATCTAAAAGGATCCATTCTCTGTGTGTTAGATTTCACAGATAAACCCACAATAGCCCCTGTGGAAATTATCGCAGGAAAGCGTGTGAGCCTAAGCTGCATCTTCAACACAACGTGCAATGGAACCGCTCCTGCCTTAACCTGGGACGCTCCCACTGCCGTACGTGGATCAGTCTCAAACACTGTAATTCAGCATGGTGTCACTCTGACCTATACTTCTGCTCTGAGCCTGACACCATCACTCACACACCAGGGACAAACTCTCACCTGCAGAGTGAGTTATCCAACTGTTTCTTCAGAGCAGACCCTCGTACTGACAGTGCAATGTAAGTATCGACATCCTTCATTCGACATTAGGCGCAACAGTCTACAATGTGCTCAGCAAGATCTGACGAATAATGGAAATATAACTGTGCAAACTGGCAGTGCTGCACTCCCTCAGCACTGACCCTCTGATAGTGCGGTGCACCCTCAGTCCTGACCCTCTGACAGTGTGTCATTATCTCAGTGCTGAACTGTTGGTCCTAATGACCTTCCTCTGAACAAAGAAGGTGCATCGATATCATTCCTTTCACATTCTAACAGCCTTTCAATGCTTCACATTCAGTGAAAGTGAATCTGTTTTATTTGTTTTTAGATTCACCACGGAATCTCACAATTACTTCTCTTGCTGTGATTAAAAATTCGGCAATTAATATAATTGAGGGGAATTCTGCAGTGATAATCTGCTCTGTTGAGAGCTTCCCAGCTTCTAACCTGATGTGGAGACATTTTAATGTCACAATGAGCAAAACAAGTTCCAAAAATGAGCTGTGGTTAGAGATTCCTCACATTACGTACCGGGAGTCAGGAGACTATCAGTGTGTGGCAGAGAATGGACATGGAGCAATGGTGGGCTCCATAACCATCAATGTGGAATGTAAGTGAATGTACATATGTTTCAATGTTACTCACTGGTACACACACAGGACCTCATGTGCCCCCAATCAGGCACATGTTGCCTCACACACTGGCAAACTCACACCGACTGATCTGAACATATCTCCCACTTTAAACATTCACTCCTCAACGATCATCGCCCAACAGCTGCACTCTGTATCTATAACACTGTGCACTACAGGAATTCACCAAGACTCTATTGTTAGCATCTTCCAAACCCCTGACCACTACCATTGAATGTTGTGAATTCAATTCTTTGAATTCAAGACGGCAAATGCATGGGAGCACTACCCCTGCAAGTTTCCCTCCAAGCCAGTCACTATCGAGACTTGGAAATATATCACCGTTCCTTCAGTGTCACTGGGTCAAACTGCTATTTCGTAACAGAACCTTGTATGTACAGCACAAGGACTGCAGCTGTTCAATAAAGCAGCTCACAACCCATTCTCAAGGGGCAATCAGAGATGGGCCATAAATACTAGCCTAACCAGCACCACCCACATTCTTTGAATTAATAAAAGGAAACAATCAAGAATTGTCTATTTTAAACATTGACTTCAGAATTTCACGGGGAAAGACAACTTGAACTGCACACAGAGATCAGATACAGAGGAATGAAATGTTGAGTGTCCTTGTGCTCTGTGTTCATTCACATGAATTCCTTATTTAGTTTTAGACACACCACAAAATCTCTCAATTAGCTACCTTGCTAAGAATAAAGATTCATCAATCAATACATTTGAGGAGAATTCTGCAGTGATACTCTACTGTGTCGACATCTTCCTAGCTTCCAACCTGACATGGAGACATTTTAATGTAACAATGAACTGAACAAGATCCAGCAATGAGTTATGATTGGAGATTCCTCATGGTACATCCAGGGAGAGTGGAGACTATCAGTATGTGGCAGAGAATGGACATGGAGCAGTGCAGGGC